GACAGGCAGAGTCAGGGGGAGGAGACAGGCAGAGTCAGGGGGAGGAGGAACTCTCATTTTTTTCACTTAGGAGCATTTCCAGACTGGTGTCTCGAACACTGTCTGTGTTATGTCATGGAGCATAGTGCTTCTGCACATGCTCACTCCTGAATGGAAGCAGCCAGGCTAGTCCATGAGAGTCCCGTGGAGCAGCACCCAGGCTGTGACCGCTGCTAGGGCTGGCGTGCTTCCCCGCCACAGGCTCAGTTGTCCTCTTGCTTTCCAGGAACTAAGTCGGTTGGCGGGACAGATTCGAAGGTTGTATGGCTCAAACAAAAAAGCCAGCAGGCCCTTTTGGATTTGCCTTACTGGATTCTCAACTGACAGCCCCCTCTATGAGGAATGTCTGAGGATGAATGATGGATTTTCTGCTTACTTGGTAAGAGTCCTCTAGCATGTTCCTGAAGTTATCTAAGTGTGCTTACAAAAAGGTTTTACTTTTTCATTCTTTGGTGTGCTCTCCACTTATGGCTTCCACGTCCGTACATTTAGCTGCATTCTTACCGCACTTATCTAGTGAGAGAGAGAGAGGGAGAGAGAGGGGGGGGGAGGGGGAGAGAGAGAGAGAGAGAGAGAGAGAGAGAGAGAGAGAGAAACATGTCATAAACACGGAGGTCAGAGGACAATGAGAGCTGGGTCTCTCTCTCCACTACATGGGTCCTGGGAGAAGACAAGTCAGGCTTTGGAGCAAGTGTCTTTACCACAGAGCTGTCTCTCCAGTGGCTTAACCATAGTTTTTAAAAAAAATATTTTGAGGGGCTGCAGAGATGACTCCGAGGTTAAGAGGACTGACTGCTCCTCCAGAGGTCCTAAGTTCGATTCCCAGCAACCACACAGTGGCTCACAACCATCTGTAATGAGATCAGGTGCCCTCTTCTGGTGTGCAGGTGTACATGCAGGCAGAACACTGTCTACATAATAAATACATATTTTGAAAACAAATTGCACCTGTAGTGAACTCATAGACACTTTGTTTCTTGTCATTTATTCCCTCTGCAGTACAGTATAGCGGGGTGTGGTAGCTCATGCCTGTAATCCCAGCACTTGGGAGCCTGAGGCAAAAGGACTGTCACAAGTTTGAGGCTGGCCTGAACTATATAGTGAGTCCTAAGCCACTGTGAAACCTGTCTCAAAAACAAGAGGAAACTAAACTACAGCATAAGAACTATTTATATATACTAGGCATTATAATAATCTAGAGGTGATTATTTATTGATTATTTTAAGTCTTCAGGGGCATATGATGTAAATGTAAACACTGGTGTTTTCTATAAGGGACGTGAACATGCTTAGACTTTAGTGTCTGTGGGGCCATTGGAAACCAGTCCCCATGGATGCTGAGGACAACTGCAATGTCTATACAAATGGTATCTTTGAACTCTGGCAATCTAAAAGGTCTCAGAATCTTTCATTAGTTCTTGTAATTACATTTTTCTCATTCTTGCCCTTCATTGGCAAACTAATATTCCCATTGTCTAGAGCCGTGTTTCATAACCTGTCTAGTTCATGCTAAACTGTATACTCTATTTTCGGAACACAATAGTGGAGAGGTAGGGAACGTGATTGTTAGAGGAGGAGAAAGGATGCTTTCAGGAGCAGATGGCTTCAAGGAGTCCTTTAGGAAGAAGTATGGGACTCTCCACTCTTTGCTGAGGCTCTTGTAAAGGCAGCAGTAGGTATGCAAGTGTACCTTGTAATCAATCCAGGTCTGATTCCAAGGGACGACACTAAAAATGCCCCTCTGTGCTGCGGTGTAGCTGGGCCTGAGTTACTGCAGCCTTCCTTGGGGAAGCCATGAAGGCCAGAGGTGTGAGGAATGTGCTGTGTGGGACTGAGTCTCTGCCGTTCTGAGGTGATCTCCTTTGCTTTGACTCTTTGGTTTTACCTGTGTCAGTCTCACCTCTTCCAGCTCCAGTGTTGCTTTCACCGGAAAGCCGCTCCTCATGCTGGTACTCCCTCACCTGTAGTCCCACTGTATGCTCCCTGTCCCTCTGGGAGCCCCTGCCACTTTCTGGCTCATTTTTATGGCTTAAATGCCTGTGCTTGTTTGTCTGTTTATCTCAACTAAGCACTTTTTAAGAAACCCTCAGACCTGCAGCTTCCTAACATGGCTGCTGGTCACCAGAGTTGAGTTGTACAGGATGCAGTTTTGTTGTTTTGTTTTTTCGAGACAGGGTTTCTCTGTGTAGCAGAGAACTCACTCCGTAGACCAGGCTGGCCTCAAATTCAGAAATCCACCTGCCTCTGCCTCCCAAGTGCTGGGATTAAAGGCGTGTGCCACCACTGCCCGGCCAGGACGCAGTTTTAACCCCATCCTACCTGGGTAATCATCTTTGTATTTCCAGCTCGATGTGACAGAAGAAGACTGCTTTAGCCTGTTTCCTCTGGAAACCCTTGTGTACCTGACTCCTGACTCCGAACACCGTGAGTCCCTGACCTTCCCCTGTGGGTTCGCGCAGAGCTTTGTCCCTCCCCTCCTCTTTTGTTGCATTATTCCCTGTGTATTATTCCCTATCTCTTCTCACTAAGAGACTAGGGAGGAAGTACTGGGAGATGAGCTGACCTCTCGTGGACAAGTAGCCAGTGCTGCAGAGATTAGTTCCCTCTTCAGGTGGACTTTGCATGCTCCCTGGTAATTGGTTTCCTGGCCAGCTTTGGTCAGTGTCTTATTTATATATATTCCCTCCCTCTTCCCTCCCTCTCTCTTTCCCTCCCTCCCTCTCTCCTCCCTAGACTATCCTCTGCTGCTCTTACTAGTGTTAGGTCAGTCATGCTCCTCTCAGATTCGTCTCACATTTCTCAGACATCTGGTTTTGTTTCTGGTCTAACCCAGTGCCTTTGGGCACAGCACTTGTGGTTTTTCAGATCTGCCAGCAGGCTTTAAGTTGTGTTGTCTTTGTTGTATTAATATTGTTGATATTTCTTTGTTTTTCTTTTTTTTGCTTTCTCTGGATTTAGAAACTGTAAAACAAATTTGATCTCAGTGGCTTTCATGTTTCCATTAGCCCTTGAAGACATTGATCAGAGCGCAGTGTACGTTATTGGTGGACTTGTGGATGAGTGCATTCAGAAGGTAAGCAGACCTCTTAGCCTCACACACATCCCCGTTTCGTTCCTTTGTTTGCTTGTTTGTTTTCTAGACCGGGTTTCTTTAGATAGTCTTGGCCGTCCTGGAACTTGCTCTGTAGACCAGGCAGGCCTTAAACTCACAGAGATCCACCCACCTCTGCCTCCTGAGTGCCTGGATTAAAGGGGTTCACCACCAACTTCCAGCTGTTTTCTACCGTTTATAGTAGAGACATTTGCCCTGTTGTTAATTTCCACAGAAGACCCAGAAGCTGAGTGGGAACAAGAGCTTGTTCGCAGGGTGCCCCTCCTGCCTGGAGATCTCTCTTTTCATCAGCAGACCTGGCTGACAGGAGCAGAGTCAGAAGTCAGTAGACAGGCCCAGTGATTCCGACACAGACATTCTTCCGCTGCCTCTCCTCTTCTCTCTGCCAGGATGACTTGATCTTGGCTCTGCATTTTTTTTTCCCAGCACTTTGTTCTCTGTGAGAGATTGGTTGTCTTCTTGTAGGCTTTCTTGCTGGTGTAAGTCGTATTCCAAGACCTCAATTCAGTAGGGTTGTCCAGGCTTCGTTTTTAGATTTGTTTTACACTTTACATATATGACTGTCTTGCTCACATGTATGTCTGTCATGCTCAGAAGAGGGCATCAGAGCCTCTGGAGTTAGAGTTAGAGATGGTTGTTAACCACCTATGGGTACTGGGAATAGAACCCAGGTCCTCTGTGAAGAACAACAAATGCTCTTAGCTGCTGAACTGTCTTTTCAGCTTCTTCTTCAGGATTCTTTTATTGAATTGGAGTTTCATTGGAATAATTAAGCTGGTACTTGAAGTTTTAAACTTTGTTTCTATTATATTAATATTAATTTTCTTTGCTTACATTAATTACATTCATTAATTAACGTACATTGCATAGTTTTAAGTTGAATAATGATACAATAGTTTACATTTGCAAAAAGAAGTGTAGTGTCCTTCCCACCCTGTACTCCTCAACCCTCAGAGCATCATGGTCCATTTTCTCAGGTGTGTTTGTTGGTCTGTTTTACATGTGTTTATAATGGATGCAGAAATATTTCATGTGTGAGTCACACATATACAAAGCTCATGTTTACCACTGATGGCAGCTCAACCTATCATTTAATTGTACGTAGTTTTAGTACAGTTATGACAGACTTAGCTCCTATTTGTGTGAAACAAATAGACTGAGCTACCATCAGTGTTAAACATGTGCTTAGTTTTAGTAGAATTAAATGTGTGGGTCTAAGTGTTCCATGGGGTCGTAACAGTCATCCTTTATGGCAGGGTCTCCTGCAGGAGCCTGTTACGAGGGATTAGAAAGTCACTGTTGTTGTTCTCAGGGTACTCCTGATTTAGCCATAAACAGCTGACTGCTTCTATTATATAAAAATTGTATTCTATTATAATATGTATAATAGGATATTCTGTTATATAAACAAACACTCTCAGAGCGTTCCCTGGAAGATTCCCAGAGCAAGGATGCACCATTACAACGAAGCCATTTTGGTTTCCGTCATCGCCAAGCTTGATTACACTGAGCATCACCAAGAGCAACGACACACTGGGTCTCCTGTTGTGACACACTTTCCTGTCAAGTATTCTTGCTCAGGATTTGAAAATTTCAAATGTAATCACAAGGGAACAAGAAGTCCAGGATGGATCATTCTGCAAGACAACAGAACTCTCAAAAAATCCACTGTAATAGAAACTAAACCAAATGAGGCGAGCGGTGCTGTCTTCAAGGAGCGTCACAAAATAAAACACGGTTAAATGCAGTGATGTTAGCCAGGCAGTGGTGGCGCATGCCTTTAATCCCAGCACTTGGAAGGCAGAGGCAGGCGGATTTCTGAGTTTGAGGCCAGCCTGGTCTACAGAGTGAGTTCCAGGACAGCCAGGACTACACAGAGAAACCCTGTCTCGAATAAAAACAAACAAAAAAAACAAAACAAAACAAAAAAAAAAATGCAGTGAGGTGTGTGTGTGTGTGGTCCCATCTACCTGAGAGGCTGTGTCAGAATCATTCAAGCTTCTAGGAGCCCTTCTTACAAACAGGAAACTGTCAAGTGTGGTTTGATTGTATTTTGGAATAGGAGGGAAACTTTACAAAAGACCTTTGGGGGAGACTTCAATCATGGTTGTGTACTAAATAACCTTACAGGATTTTTAGAAGTGAACTCAGTGCTGTGCTAAAGGGGAAAGCGCTGTTGTCCTCCAGCGAGGGGTCAGTGTGAGGTCAGTGTCAGAATGGCCACAGCTCACAGAAATTTGATAACATATTAACTGGTAAGTGAAGTGGCAGTACGAGAACTCACTTAATGACTCAGATTTCTTAGATTTGAGATATTTTGAAATAAGTAGTTGGGAAGGGGAGAGAGCTTTCACTCAGAGACGGGATCACTGCTTTCCCTCTGACTTGTCTCCCAAGACAGGCAGATGGCCTCTTGAGGCAGTAAAGTCCAGGAGGTCCATGAGCAGAGTGTGCTGTGTAGATGTGAAATTTTATTTTATGTATTTTACATTCTGACCTCAGTTTCCTTTCCTATTGAGGCTAGGTAAGCAATCTAGTAAGTTAAAGGGTCCTAAAAGCAGGGCACAGAGTTACAGACAGCCTTTGATCCTACTGATAGTGTTAGGGACCCCACAAGAAGATCAAGCTATACAAATGTAATATATGTTCAGAGGGCCTAGGTCAGTCCTATGCATGTTCTCTGGTTGGGGGTTCAGTCTCTGTGAGCCCCTATGGGCTCATGTTGATAATGTGGGGTTCCGTGGGGTGTCCTTGACCCCTCTGGCTCCTAGAGTCCTTCCTCCCCTTTTACATGGGATTCTCCAAGCTCTGCCTAATGTTGGGCTGTAGGTCTCTGCGTCTGTTTCCATCAGTTGCTGGATAAAGCCTCTCAGATAGTCAATCTATGAGTATAGCAGAATATCATTAGAAATCATTTCATTATTTTTCTTTTTTTGCCATTTGTGTTTGGTTCAATTGTGAGTCTCGGTGCTATCCAGCCTCTGGATCCTGACCCTCTGGCCAGTGTCAGAGGTAGGCTTCCCTGGACCAGACATTGATTGGCCACTCCCACAATTTCTGTGCTACCTTTACACCACCACATCTTGTAGGCAGGACAAATTGTAGGTTGAAGGTTGTGTAACTGGGTTGGTGTCCCAGTCCCTCCACTGGAAATCTTGCCTGGTTCCAGGAGATGGTCAGTTCAGGCTCAGTATCCCCCATTGGTAGGAGTCTTAGCTAGGGTCACTCTTGTATCCTGTGAGTTTCCATTGCCCTAGGTTTCTAGCTCCTCTCAGAGATGCTTCCCCCAGATTCCAGTTCTCTCTCCCTCACCACACCCGATCCCTCCTGTTCCCATCCCCACCCTTCACCCCATTCAGTCCCTTCCGCCATCTACTGGCAATGTCTGTTCTGTTTCCCCTTCTCAGTGAGATTCACTGGTCTGTCTTTGAGCCCTCATTACTTAGCTTCTTTGAGTCTATGGATTGTAGCATCGTTTTCCTGTACTTTACAGCTAATAGCCACTTACAAGTGAGGACATACCATGTGTGTCTTTCTGGGCCTGGATTGCCTCACTCAGGATGAACTTTTCCATCCATTTACCTACAAATTTCGTGATGTCATTGTTTTTAATAGCTGAGTAATACTCCATTGTATAAACATACCACATTTTCCTTATCCATTCTTCAACTGAGGGACACCTAGGTTGTTTCCAGTTTCTAGCTATTATAAATAAAGCTGCTATGAACGTAGTTGAGTAACTCTCCCTGTGATGCAGTGGAGTGTCTTTTGGGTATATGCCCAGGGATGGTATACCTGGGTCTTGAGGTAGATCAATTACCAGTCTTCCATGGAATCACCATATTGATTTCCAAAATGGCTGCACCCGTTTGCACTCCCACTAGCAATGGAGGAGCATTCATCCCCTTGCTCCACACCTTCGCCAGCATGAGCTGTCATTTGTGTCCTCTTAGCCACTCTGGCACAGTGTAAGATTGAATCATGTCCTCTCAGGTTTCTACCAACTAAAAGTGGCAACATGTGGGAATTTTCGAAACTGCCAGTGTCTATTACAATGAATACAACGAAATATTATGTGTAATTTTTATAATAAGAAAATTTGATTTACAGAAGGTGACATTTCAAAAAGCCCGAGAACACTCTGTCAGGACAGCCCGCCTGCCAATCCAGGAGTACATGATCAGACGCCAGAATGAGAAAAACTACCATTCAGAAATCCTGGCCATCAACCAAGGTACTGCTCACAGCCCAACCCAGCGTGCTTTTCCTTATGGGCCGTTTATTAGTCCTTTGTCTTGGATGGGCTCTGTTTTCTGTTTACTCAAAGACCACTTGATAGCTTATTCTGGGGCTGCTGCTTTGCTTTAAGTGTAATGCCCTTGACTCAATTTCCTGTGACACCTAAACTCTCTTGCATGTGCTTGCTGGCAGCCATCCTGGCCATTGAGGAGTGTTCCTCATTTTGTTTTCATTCCTGGATGAAAGTGTCCCTTTGCCTAGAATACCCTGCCAACTACCTTCATTGGCCAGTATCTGTGTTCTGTAGACTCCAGCTCAGGAGCATCTTTCCTCCCACATCAGGCCCCCTGTTTGTGTTCCCATGGTGCTGTGTTCCTCCATTGCAGTTGTCCATTCACAAGTGTTCAGTGTACGCTGAGGCCTTGTAAATAGGCCAGGCTGAGTCCTTGCCTCTCTCCTCCCATGATCCACCGCATGTGACTCAGAGGACAGCTCAGTGACGACATTCCACAACACCCTTTTCCACATTAGTCCTTCACTAGTCTTCTCCTGTATGATCACCAACATCCGTTTACCTTCTGACAGTGTTCGATATCCTGTCTACTTACTTTGAAACTCATAACTGGCCTGAAGCATTGAAGAAAGGAGTTTCTCCAGGAAAAGGCTACATTCTTCGGAATTCAGTGGAATGATGGACAGCCTAAGATTCCAGCTGTAGTGGTGAAGTGCCGGGGGTGTCTTGACCAAAGGACCAGGCAAAGGGTGGCAATGACACACACTTGCCTCTGCATGCTATCTTGGATCTTTGAAAGCCACTAGGGACAAGGACCACATTTTATGCTATGTCACCCACAATGCCTGGCTCACTGGAAGTACCCTGATAAAACTTATTATGGTTAAAAAAAAGTTTGTGTCTGGGCTGGAGAGATGGCTCAGCGGTTGAGAGCACTGACTGCTCTTCTGAAGGTCATGAGTTTGGATCCCAGCAACCACATGGTGGCTCACAACCACCCATAATGAGATCTGATGCCCTCTTAGGGTGTCTAAAGACAGCAACAGTGTACTTACATATAATAAATAAGTAAAAACCTTTAAAAAAAATTTGTGTTAAGGAATTGCCAAAATATATGTCATTTGGGGTGTTAATTCATGCTTTGTACATCTGTTTGTGAAAGGTCTACTTTCAGAGATGTTTAAATGATTGTACGAGCTTTTCATTTAACTTGAATAAAATTATTTTTCTGTCCCCTGTAAATGTGCCGATTTTCACCAGCTCAGCCCCGCTGCACGTCCGCTTTGCTGTCTCAGCCCCACCAGGCCTGCCCCACCTTGTGTCTTAGAGCACCCTGTTCTTCTGATTGTGGTCACGGAGGGCCCCTCTCTTCTAGTCTGTGTAAATTTGTGTAGCCTTGAGCTTAGACAAACCAAGTGCTCTGTACAAATATATACCCCAGATCTAATAAAAAACGCCGTTATTACTGATAAATCCAGCATAAAACAGCCAGAAAAGAATGCTGCGTTCTGACACACAAGCATACTAATCCACCTTCTATTACACAAATACAAATCTTTTCCTCACATCAAATACAACCGTCTCAGTTGTGTCCAGTTTTGGGTTACTTTGGTTAATCTACTAACAAATTCACATGTTTTCTGTATCGCAAAAGAACCAAAAGTTACCTCTCCTTTCCCATTAAATTCCTACTTGATAAATTTTATATTGCTCTTATTATAAAATAGGCTCGGCCTCGGGGAGGCCCCTTAAGGGACTGGGCCACACAGGCTTCAGGGGTACAGAACTCATCCTGAGATCAGATGTGAACCGAGGACCACTGAGCGCGGATCACTTGCCAGTCTACATGCTTACCTATGACGGTTTTAACATAACGTAGATAGCATAGAATCACCTCTCCAACCCTAGTCCAAACCTCTCCTCTATCCAAAACCTGAGATTGTGGGAACTGTGTTAAATAACACTTAGCCAGACTTGGATCAGAAATCATCATACTATTATATATAAGGAAAAAAACTAATATATAAAAAATATACTATGAGTGAAATATTTGTAATTACCGAGTTTTTTATAGTAGCCATGAAAGAAACTTGTCCTGTTTGAACGAGACAGAGCATGTTATCTTATGACTCCAATTTGAAAAACATAAATACACATACAGTGGTTAAGCCTTAGGCCATGTTAGTCGGTGCCTCTGTATCTTTGAGGGTTACTGTTTTCTGCAGGAATTCTCATTTCGGTAATTGTGTAAAACACTTGGGACATACTTTTCACACAGAAAGTGCATAAATATGAGGCTCTTCCACTGGCTTCTGGGATTACAACGGGGTTGTTCTTTGCTCCATTTAATGTGTTCACCATTTCCTCTGGCAAAGAAGGCTTACGATTATAACCAGAAAACAAGTTTAGTGCTGCACTCCAGCTCATTATAGAAGCTGAACTATAGAACGACAAATACTACCAACAAAGTTTATTATATAAAAATTTTTTATAATTTTCTCATCTATACATGATTGATGACCAGTAACTCTTACAAAAATATTTTATTGGATTCTAGTAAGACAATAGGCATCTTCTGAAGATCTGTCAAGAAGAAATTCACCCGAAAAAAAGATTTCCCCAGGAAACTCAGTCTTAGCTAAAATAGCCACTAAGGAAATGTACATGTCAGCTCTCTGCCAGTCTGGCAAAGATCTGTTTTCTTTGCTCTGTTGTCATGTGTTCACAAGCTTCTAAGACATTTGCCAAAATTAATGTCTGCTGAACGGTTCTAGCCTTGACCCATATTCTTCCATTCATTCCAAACACAATCTCCAACGGATAGAGTTTTCCCAGTTCTTGCACGATTTCACAGTCTGGAGCTAATAGCCTGGTAGGAAAGATGAAAGAAAATAAAATTTAATAAAGCAGTAGTATGTTACGGCTCTCCTAAAGGAGATTCCTTTTGTGGAGTCCTTCTCTAGGTAGTTCTCTGTGACTATTCGAAGCCCTTCAGCATCATTCCCACAGCCAGACATGATGTGTCTGCCTCTTTTCTTACACCACCCTCCCCCAGCGCTGTTGTATTTGGAGATGAAGTCTACCTAGGTCACTTAAACTAAGTCTCAGATTTGTATGTCTGAGAACTGTCCTGCCTTCCCAAGTATCTGGGACTATAGCAATGTGCCACCATGCCCAGCTCAATGCCCCCTTTCTTCCAAGAACATCTACTTTCCTGGCATACCAGAGTCTTCAATGGTGGGCTATCTCCTATAAAAACACTCATGTCTCCAATGTTGCATAACATATGAATGTATAAAGCCTCTTCCCTCTGAACACCTTATTCCTAGATTTGAGGATCATAGCTCGTCATCATCACCCACAGTGCCAACAGAATACTTTAAATTTTACTCTCCTGTCCATGTTAGTTCCTCCCTGGTATTACATTCAGAACTTAGAGTTATTATCTTTGACACCAAGGTTGCTGCGCAGTGAGTAACATGCTTCTCATGTGCCTCAAATTTCATCTCCATATGGGAAGGAAAAATAGCATGGAGAAACCTAGGAAGGTGATTCTGACTTTAGAAGCAGCACAGCTTGGGTAGGTGATGGTCTAAATGCCCTAACAGAATCTGCCACAGTGGAAACTATAAAGTCTTTCAGGACAATGTCAGGGACCATGTGTACATGGTTACTTCAGCTTAAGGAGCACACTACCCTGCCAGCATTTGCTATTACAGACACTTGGTAACTTTGTGCAGGGGCAGATTGCATCTGTGTTTATGTATCTTAGAATGAGGGAGAGACCAGTTCTCACATATGGATGTGTCACTTATAAGGAGAAACTGGCCTTCCGAGAGAAAGACCAAACAGAACAGAGTGAACTTGAAGCGTAACGTATTAGAAAAGGCACTGGAAGGGCTGCAGAGAGGGCGGGGTGGTTAAGAGCACTGAATCCTTTTCCAGAGGAGGCAGGTTGATTTCCAGTAGCTACATAGTAGCTCCTGGCCATCTGTAACTCCAGCTCCTAGGTATCTGATGCCCTCTTCTGGCCTTCAAGGGCATGTACTAGGTTCACGATAAACACCTAAGCACACACACACACAAAAAAGCACTATATCAACACTCAAACTATACAGCCAAATGGCATTTGGATTTGATATATTTACATTAAGAAAGCAGAACTTAATTGAGGAAGTTTACATATATGCTAAAACAATGACCTTTTAAAAGTATTTTATGTTTATGGGGTTTTTGCCTGCATGTACATCTGTAACCACTTGGTTTTTGGTGCCTGCTGAGGCTAGAAGTGGGCACTGGCACCCCTGGAACTAGTTGTGAGCCTCTATATAGTTGCTGGAAATTGAGCCTGGATCCTCTGGAAGAGTGGCTAGCGTTCTTACCCATGGAGCTTTCTCTATAGCCTCCTAAAATATGGACTTAACTCTTAAGAGAACCAAGAGATTGTAAATGAAGAATCAAATCCTAAATATTGTTTTTCAACCAGGTATAGTTACTGGAGGAGCCCCTACCCTTAACGGAGGAACTGTGGACAGTTGATTGCTTCTGAGGAAGGGAGCCAGTTTTCTTTTGAGGTATAGCTGATGGCACCTGATGGTAGGTGGGTCACACTAAAGTAGTAGGCCCCATATTTACAAATATACGTTCAGCACAGAAGACTCAGTGGCTTATTTATTTTTAAAAAGGGAACACAAAGTTAGGAGGTGGGGAAGAAACCTGGGAGGAGTTACAGGGAAGAATGGGAGTAAGTATAACCAACAAAACACCATCATGGAATTCTCAAAGGGTAACGGGCCCTTAAAGAAGGCAGGGCAGTTACCAAGCATCACAACTTACTTTCTAATTAAGCCCAACGTCACTTTGAAGAGCAGACCGTCCTGTCCAATCACGCCCATCCCATTGGCGCGCCCACAGCTGTCAATACAGACCATTTCTGGTTCCATGTCTTTATTAGCAACCACACACTGGCCATAGATGAGATCTCCAACCTGTAAGATTAAAAGTTCAGTCCCCTTCATTCAGACGTTACGGGATGTAATTCAGGATGATAGCTGCTGCTGCTGGTTCTGTTCTATGGGCAGGAATGCCAGTGACCCACAGTTCTCAAGCTAAGGGACTGATGATCTTTAGAATTCAGTCCTCCCTTCACACACACCATGAAATCCTCCAACCAGGAGCCATTTCAAGGCCTCAGAACAACCTTCAAGATTGTACTGTCCAACTTACATGTAGTTTAACTTTATATCTAACCGTATATGCACGTAACGTATATAAACTTCAGTTCTTCCACTGGTCGGCTGCTCAGCAGCCGCATGTAACTAGTGGTGACTGCACCAGTCAGTGCAGATGTAAGACAAAAACCGCATCATTGGAAAATGTTCTATCAGTACTAACAAAAAATTATGTATTTGTCTAGAGGAAGGAAAAACTCTTGACATCCATATGCAAAAGAAAATGGGGCAGTGGCAACTCAGATACTACTTCATGGAAAATTTGCTTTAAAATATTACAAAACTGAACTTTTAAAATGAAGCTAAGGAAATAGTAAATTTGTTCTCTTCATTCAACAGTAAAAATACCCACTGCTGAGCTGGAGAGATGGCTGATGGGTTAAGAGTACTTACTGCACTTGCAAAGACCTAGGTTTGGTTTCTAGCACCCTCAGAAGCTCCTAACTGGTCATAACCCATGTTTCAGGGGACCCAACCTTCCTGACCTCCACAAAAAGCTATCACACAGTGGGCAAAACATACATGTTGGCAAAAAACTTTCCTAGGCATACTTTAAAAGTACTTTTTCTAAGTCCCCACTGGTTTGGGTGATTACCAAACCTAGAGGGAATCATACCCTTTCTGCCTTCCTGGAGCATGTGGTCTTGCACAGGGCAATGAGAAATGAATACACTTAGGAACCTGATCAAGAATAAACCCAGTGCTATGGTAAATATGCAGGAAAAGTGATGGTGATGACG